TGCTGCTGCTGTTGCTGCTACTGCTGCTGTTGCTGCTTAGACTGCTGGTTCTACTCCTGCTCCTGCTGGTACTACTACTGATGTTGCTTCCGCTGCTATTGCGATTAGTAGTAATACTAGTGTGCCACAGCACTACGTCTTTGTGTTTCCAACTTGAAACATTCCTCTTTTTTCTCTTCTTAGTCGTGATTTTGAGGTTTTAGTAGGCTGTGTTGTTCTTATTATGGACGATAATATTATATATTATCCTATAATTGTTTCGGTTTCGAACCTATTAGATCTACTTTTAGTTTTAAAAGTTTTCTCAAATTAATATGCCAATTTGTACAAAACTCAGTGTTCAATTTTGGCAACAATGCAACAATGAAGCGTCCTATCAAAATAAAAACTCTTCCTTTTTGTCTTTATATTCTCCGAATTTTACTCAACAAATAGTTTTATATAACATAATCAGGAATAAGATTTTTTAAAGAACATATTAAGTACAATTTATGTCATGTTTGTGTATATTGTAACAATCCTGGCAATTGACTTGAGTACTTTTTATTTCTTTCTGCGGCAACTGCTACAATGCTCTTGAGAACAAGTACAGTGGAAAAGGCATTGCTACTTTCGTTTTGAGGTTAATTTTTTTTTTGTTGTTGTTGAATGCTTTTTGTTGTACAACGCATTGCGTCACTGTGACTTTAACAATGCTAGATCTGAATGTGTATTCGTTTCCTTGATTAAATAAGATACTGTTGCTAACTAATGTACTAATATCTAGATCTAGATCTAGATTAGATGTCGATCTAAACTGAAAAGGAAACCATTTATTTTATTTATTTTGTCAAAACTTGTTACTTTGACTTTGACTTGTGTGACTTGCTACTAGATATCTAGATCTAGATAATAATCTAGATCTAGATCTAGATCTAGATCTAGTGGCACTGACACTATGAATTCATAAATCTAGAATCTAGATTAGATCTAATCTAGATCTAGATCTAGATCTAGACATAATCTACCTGCCGTAAATTCGAACGACACTGTCACTTTGTGGTGAATTGCTTGACAGGTAAATTTTATTTCAACCAGAAATGAATAGACGGAAAAGCCTGCATTTGTTACAGCCAGCCTCAGTAGCCTAGCAGTCAGTAGCCTAACTAACTAGATTCTAGATCTAGGCCTAGTGAGTAACGACTAATAAGGGCTAATATCTAGAATGTAGATGTAGATCTAGATTCTAGATATCTAGTCTAAACTACTAACATAAATTTTTACTTTTAGACCTGCACACAGATGAACAGACTGTTTTGAGGGCTAAACTGACCTAACTTTTGCTGCAGAACACACACAGAATCTAGATATCTAGATCTAGATCTAGATCTAGATCTTTGTATATGGCCACTAAAATCCCTGCAAAGCAATTGTTTTCAAGTAATTATCAACAAAGTATTATTCGGACTCGAGTCCGAATAGACAAAAATTGTATTCGGACCTGTAATGTTTGTGTCTGATGTGTGTAAAAATGGGAATGAGCTAGCTATGTTGTGAATGTTGAAAGAATGATTCTTTAATATCACAATTATTTCCCTTTCTTGATACGTCAAACATTGTCTCGTTTTGAATACACACGAGATTTCAGTGTAAACTAAATAAAATCAGTTCACCGGCAGAGGTAGGCAAGAGAGCGGCTATGTTTTGTCTTTCTTTCAAGTATTAATCTTTGTATAATGTGAGGCCATAGCAGCCATCACAGGACCCGGAATTGAGTCCAGCATGACGTCCATTCAAACTTCCGACCCTTGTTCCTAAATAAGCTGACTTCCAGCATTTATGAAAATTTTTTCGATTATAATGTGATAACAATCGAGACGTGAGCTTTAATATCCAGTTACTAGATTCATATCTAAACTGGCCCTCCCTGCATTATTAGTATGAACAGAACAACCAAGCTTAGTTTACCTTGCCGGGGGTAAAGTTAATTATGTGGACCAATGATTGCGTTTAGCGATCACACCCTCTCGGTTTGCTGGGGGAAGAGGTGTTGGGAAGAGGCCACGGGTGTCGGTTTTGTGTGATGTGATTTTAAAAAATAATTAATTACAGAAAAACTATGACCCACAACAAAATGAAATTAAACATTTGTGAGGCAGCGTGGTGGAATCAGGCTCTCGTCAATTTTTGGGCATGTAGAGTTATTGGTATCATCTTATAACTTGTTCACTTGTCTTTATTTGGATGAAAACAATATACATTTATCTTGAATACAAGTCGAAATATTTGCAAAAGAAGGAGGTGGGGGTCACCTGTTTTCAGAGGTAAAATTAGTGAGAAAATGGTTGCCAAAGATTAGTTATTTCCTTAGCTTAAGAGTCCGTGATAACTGAAAATTTACATTTTTATGCCTTTAATCAACGCTTTTCAGAAAAATCCACACAGAAATTAGTTCTTTAATGGGCATGAAAGGTGTTGAGCCAAAACCCAAAAATTTGATAAAAATTCACAAACCTGCGGAAAAATGCAAATTTCTTCACTTTGATTATTTTGACGAGAGAGACAAATGGTGGTGGAAGTAATGATGATGCTGTAACGGTGGTGGAAAGACCCTGAGTTGTCGGTTACCATGTACTTACTGCTATAGGGCAATGAGAGTGCAGTCTTTTAACTTTTGACATTGTAATTATACAGTCCTAGTCGGTAATTCTGGTTCTAATTCTGGTTTTACGTAAAAAGGCCCCGATGGCAGTTAGCAGCTGAGTCCGAATAAATAAAAAACAAATTTTCGGACCAGAGATTAAAAATCTAATCGGCCTCGAGTCTGAATAGAGCTGGCCAATTATCAATCCTAATTGTCGAAACATCAGATCTTGGTGAAGAAATGCAAGGGGGCATGGCCCCCTGAAACCCCCCAGCCCCATGTCATTAAAAACAAGTCAAATATTACTACGCCATTGGAGATTGGTCCCATTGTAATTAAGTTTGTATAAAATATCCATTATCTCATAAACTGATATTTTGCAATGGATATTAAGTCAAAATTTGTGTAAAGCAGACAAAAATGAACAAGAAAAGTGCTTTAGAATATAAGCTTGAGACAGGTCCATGAGTCAGAAAATACCCTAGGGCCTTGCCTTTCAATTATAATATCAAAGTTCGCATCGAAGACTAAAATTAAAATGGTAGATCCACAGTGGAAACCTGATAGATAACAGGGATGGTAAGACCAGAGAAAAAGTCCTGTTATATCAGATCCCTGTTAAATCAGAAATGCAAGGAAAGTAAGCTTTTATATTAATCCAGCTGTATTTATTCATGGGTAGTTTCCCTTGCCAAACCGCAGCCCTCTCTCGTGGCCATGTCGCAGGCCTGCACATGACACATTCTGCGTGAATGTAGCTAGGATTAGGGCTAGATCGAAGTCTGCAGTACACCGTTGCCCTCTCTCGCTTCCCCCGCTGCGTGTGCTTGCAGTGGCATGGCTTGCGTGGGCTTGCTCCCTGACTGCATTACTCTCTCTCTCTCTCTCTCTCTCTCTCTCTCTCTCTCTCTCTCCCTCTTACTTTGTACCATAAGAACAGGTTTTACTGTTTGCATTGTGCTCTGGGACTGTGTGTTAGGACCCTTAAAGACTTAACGAATTGAAGCTTCTAAAATGATTGATTAAGCTCAACACAGGAATTGGTCCTACTTTTCTTTCTACTTTGGGTCTGTCTTCGACATGATCAGGAAGGGCTTATATCTTATATCATCCCTTTTTATGAGGCACAAAAGTTTTCACCTATCTCTGCTTAAGGGGAATGGATCACTCAAGCATTCTTCCTTTATTTGTATTTGTAAAGAAGTTAATTTTCCATTTAGTTCTTCTGGTACAGTATATGTACAGTCAAGATTTCCCATTTTATTCCTCAGATATTTATTTATAGTATTCAAATGGAAAAGAGCATCCTTCCCAAAATGGCCTTTGAACTTCCAGTGCCATCATCACCTATTTCAAAGCCTGCTGATGTGAGGATGTCCCAGATAAATGTGCTCACACAAAATCTGCAGTCATATCCTCTACAAGTGAGAAGGCTTGTATTGATGCAGCCATCTATGCGACAACTCACTCCTTTATTAGGATCCGACGTGTTACCACAATGTAGAACTTATTTGCCAAAGTCAGCGTGGAAAAGAAATCCTTTCCATCAGCTATTTCCTGTGGCCCAATGCTCGTCAGATTCAAGAAATTCAAAGTCTAGTTCTGAACTCACTGTGTCTAGTGGTGATGACGATCAGTTGCCTGGGGTCTCAGCAAGGCGGAGTGTCACATCCACAAGTTCATCGACCAGACAAGATGACATCTCTGGTGTTCAAATTAATATGTGGTTAGACCAAGAGACCGGATTAGATAGGCTGCGACAGGCCTATACCATAGGGTAAGTAGGCTACAGTGTAATTGAGCTGATCGTTACTGAAAATGCATAGTCTGCGTCTTTTAAAAATGTATAATGATGTTGTCATCATCCAGCTTCTGAAAACTGTATTTCAATTTCAGCAGCTTGGAATTTCCATCTGTTGTCAATGTCAATAAGTTCTAACTTATCATTTTGCTTTACCTAGTTGAGTGTACTTAAACCAAACATGGTTAATCTGAAAATAGTGGACACAGAAAGAAAACAAAATCCTATATTTTATTTTCCTTTTATTTTAGCAATTTCTCTTTTAACTGAAATGCCGACTAAACCAAAGAAAGAGGCGGTTTAGCAGATTTCATTTTAAGCAGAGTTAAATGAATGTTTTGTCAAGATTAGTGAAGAGAAAAAGATGTGAAGAACAACTTCACCATTTCCTATTGAGTTTCAATCTAACATGTTTGTTCTCTCATCTTGTCAAGAGTTACTGGTTTCTTTTTTTCTGAGTGCACTGAGTGAACAAACCAGAATTCTATGTCATAGACAGACTTTGAGTGCTGAGAGGGATGTCATAGATTTTATTTATGGGCGAATTCTGTTCAAGAAATTTTTTTTCAAGAGCATTTGATATTGCCATAAATAAAAGTAATACATTTTGCAATTTCATGAAACATTCTATGAAATATGGACAGTTTTTCAGCTGTGTAGAATTGTTAGAAAATAATAATATTACCAAAGCTTCTTTTGATCTTTAGAAATCCATTAGTATCTTCTGTTTTTACTTCATCAGGAGCAGTGGAATATTTGTGCAGGAAGATACCCGGAACCTCAATACCATGCTGTATCGCACAGCATTGCTGGGCTTTTTCATCAGCGTTGTCATTTCCAGTCAGAATGAAACCAGGAAGAAACAAAAACATCTGTCACAGACTGAGGCCCTTTTGAAAGGTGTTCAAGTGAGTTCACACTTGATTAAGATGAAAATATTCACTACATGGAAACTTTTAAAGTTCAATTTTGATCGCTGGGTGCAAGTCTCAGACAAACACCATATTGCAAAATGCCATTTACAGAGGCTGGCATTGGCATTCAAACAACAATTTTTACTTTCTTCTACTTTATTATATTTTCACTTGATTTATGAAATGCTGTTTGTGGTCTGGGATATCATTGTGAAAATGTTTACCTGCCTCAGGTCTTCTCTCCTTTTTTTGTGTTGTCCCAGAATCTTGTATTTCGAGTGGATGTCTGACCGGGTACTCTAGTGTAATCTGCTCCTTTTCATTCTTTAACTTTAAGACTTTTTAAGTGCTCCTGTTGTCCCAGGATGTTCCCCTGGCAAAATTGAGGCTTTCATTGTTGTAATGTTACAGTTTTTATCAATACAAGATGATACTCAAGAATGATAAACAAATAAGAAAGAAAAAGGATTTCCAGTGGCTTTGACTGACAGATTGATAAAAATAATTTTGTTTACACTGATCAAGATTTGTAGTACTGACAGCAAAATGTTTCCTATGACTTTTGTAAGAGTTATGTTTACATGTATGAGATATCATGCTTAAAAGAATTGGCGTTAAATTATCCTTCATGTTGCATGTACTTGTTATCTTTTGTATGTTCTGCTGATTGCAAGATTCAGTATTTATGCAGATGTGGTCTGATCACTATCGAAGAGCAATTTTGTGTTTAGATGTAGGAAAGATGGAATTGAACGATTTTACTGCTTTTCCTTCCCTTTCATATCTCAATAGCCTTTCATTTTCCCAGCAATGTGCAAAATGTAAATTTGTTTTGTTTCAAACATTGCAGTCAGAGCGGCAGTTGCCAAGACAGATCTTGAAAGATGCAGCGAAGACAACATTGAAGTTGACAGCCTGGGCTGCTGTTCTTTTGTAAGTTACATCATGTAGAGAATAGCTCAGTTTCTCTCGCAGACATGGGTGTAGCAATGTACTTTCTGTGTTTTTAAAAAGCACTCTCGGAATGTGTTTGTGAACATGATTTTGCACTTTTTTCATGCTTATTCTTCACTAATTATTGCTATGCACAATTACATTCAGTTCTATGAATTAAACTAAACAAACAGAAAATTTATTCAAGGGGAAATTTTGTTCACAATGGCATACGTACACACCCTACTGACCACTTAGAGTAACATCTAGTCATAGTTGTATGCTTAACGTTATCGTGAGCTTGATAAAGGCCTCTAGAAAGTCTGATGTTTGGAACAGAATTGTGTTCAGAATTTTATATACAGCTAAAAACTTATTTCTGTCTTCATCTTTTTACTCTTTGTCTTAATGACTGCTGGATATTATAGATGTTGGTGATAATCTTACTGAATTAGAGAAAATTTTGTCTCTTCTAGAGTTGTCTTTAGACGAACACTGTTTCTTTTGTTTGCACAGAATCCTTTTAATGCAATTCTTTTGTTTTTTTCAGCCATTTACCACATGCTATTGCAGTTTACAGGAATAAAACAAGCATCTGGGAATATGCAGCGACATCAGGTATTTTACTCCGCAACATTGTGCACATTTATTGCTACAGTAGTCTTCGCCTAAACGCACACCGTACAAAAGCACGCTCCGCTCAAACGCACGCTTTCGTCATCTGACGGGTTTTTCACTATATAATTTAGACGTACAAACGCTTGGTCACTGCCTCTAAACGCACGCTCCGATCTGCGAAACACGCTGACAGGTAAAGCTTGACTAAGGGAAATTTTCACTACTACTACTGTATGATCTACACAGCTTGCATAAGACAAGCCTAGAAAAATGGATATTTGGCGAGACTGTCCCTTACGTCGAACAAAGAGAGTGGTGGACAGCGTTTTCACACCCAACGTTCTACAGACACATAGGTCTAGGATTTGTCGGTGAAATGTTGGAGGGGGTTGGGTGACTGAAACGTTATTTGATTGGCCACTGGAAGTGCATCTCTTTGAGAGAAGGTTTGAGTGACTGCGTGTTGGCTAATGTTTAGTTAGACCTAAGCCTATGATGCGCAACACGCGTGAATGTTCGTTCATGAATTTACGGTCGGGGGTGGTCGCTTGGAAAGCCACGTGGCTGGGCCGTCGTCTCTATGACTATCACCAACAATTTCTTTTTAGGCTATTGGTTCCCGACATTTTATGGTGGATTCATTACAACAAGTCTGTCTTTCTGCCCCCCCCTCCCCCCCAACACACACCCATTCAACGCCTTTGAAGTCTTGGGCTTAACCGCAGTCGGGGAATCTTTTACAAAACAGTCACGTGTCGTCACACTATCGGCCCAGAGTGACCCCCGCCCCAAAGGGAGGTCACTAGAATACCAAGGTAATGAGATGACTGCGTCCCTTCCTCCCTTTGCAAAGGTTCATGTAAACGCACGCTCCGTATAAACACACGCTAAAAAGCCCTCCTGAGCACCGTGCGTTTAGGCGGAGACTACTGTAATGACATACAGCAGAGTCCACGAATCTCGAACACAAAAATTACGAATTCTCTGGTATATCGAACATAATATTGCGTCCCCTTTCAGTCCTAATGTTTTCTTTGTATTGACTTCCCGGAGTTCCTGAACACTCGGAACATACAACACTCGAATCTCGAACAAATCCACTTCACATTCTCAACTAAAGACCCGGCTTTACAGCCTGTCTGGCTGTGGGTAGGTGTTTCTTTGTTATAATAACAGCCATAACGTGGTCATTGTTTCACCACTAGAGACTGGAGGAAGGGGGGACGGGGAAGGGGGATTGGGGAGTCGTGCTGACTGGACCACATGATTGGCTTGCCACACTTGCAATCATGCTGCACGGTGAGGATGGCAAGAGGAGTAACTTTTTGTAAGCCAATGAAATGAGAGGAAAGAAACGACGTAGGCTGTGCACACATGAGATTTTATGCTTTCCACTTTCTTTTATCTTCTTGATTTTACTTCGTCAACAGGTTCATCAAGGGAGCTAGCCATGTTAATTGTTTTAATGTTCTTTTTTACCTCCTTTGATTTTCTCTCTATTTCTTTGTATTAAATACTTTTTGGGTCTTTTACGGACATGACGAATTACGGAAATCTCAAACACTATTTCCAATCCCTGATAAATTCAAGCGAGTTTCCCGTGTTTGACTGTACTTACTGAGTAAAAGTAATGAAAAGAGCTGCAGTCTTTGGTAGATGTTAAGCGTTAAGCATTTGTCTCAGTTTGTTCTGATCTGATTGGCCCTTTAAGTATTGATTCGATTTTCTCTTTAATAGAACTTTACTTCTCAGTTTTCAAACTCATGGAATTGTTGTGACCTTATGTGAACCTCTAGTTGATTGACAAGGGTGTATTATACTATGATAAACATTTCCATTCTTAACTCTTAAAAAAAAATTTCTTCAGTTAAAGCTCTCTAGGAGATTTTACTGAAATGATTCCTCCTCCTTTAGTTGTGCTGTATGATAAATAACACCCTCTGTTAGAATTGAATCTGCAAAATATCAGTCTGCTGGATGCAGTTGTGTTACTGGTGTATAAATACAGTCAAACCTTGTCAAGGAGAAAAGTGGTCGTATAACACAGGTGGCCGTCTTAGGCAGGACTGTTCAAAATGAAGAAAGCAAAGCATTCTCTTCTAAGGTCCAAACTGGGGCTGATCTCAGGATTTAGACTGCTTTACGACAAATTCAAAGGTTTTTTTGGGGGGGGGGGGGGTTTAATAAGGGAGGTGGGTGTTGTAAGAAGGTTATTGTTGTTGGTTTGTTTTTTGGCTAGCTTTTTGTTTTGTTGCTGATTTTGTGCAAAGTTATAATAAACGAAATATTATAGTTTGTAAGATGATGACAACTGAGTGCCATGGTAAAACAAACACACGCGTCACCGCCACTCAGAGAACAAGTGATGCTTCTGTTGCTAGTTCACGTCAACGTCCATTGTTACGTTGTTACAGATTAGGTAAACAAAACAATGACCAGTCACCTCACACACGATTTGTGCTTGAGTTGTAGGCAGGGCTTATAGGTTATGACGGATCACACGCAGTTGAAAATTTATTGTCACCCATTGGTCATTTTGGGTAAACATTCATTGGAGGGACTAACAATAACGACATGTGAAAGGATTATGGCGGCTCGTCCTTAGCGCCAAGAGCCGATTCAAAATTTATGACAAAGCATCGGGCGATGAGTGACCATGCCTGGCCGCCTCAAGCAGGTAAATTTGACCGTGGGTTGATAAAATAAGGTGGCCGCGACCGCGTTGGACAGTTTACACAATTAAATTATTAAAAATACGTAAGGGAGGAAATGGAATGTGGCCCTTTGCACAGGTGGCCGTCATGGCAGGTTTGACTATTGCCGATATATGTAATTCCTGTCTGCTTCTGAAGCCTCCAGTATTGACCTCCTCAAAACAGATAATTACACGCAAGTTCTGTGAAGTGTACACCTGAGATGGAGTGATGATCATAATGTGGAATATTAAGTCATACCAGTGCTAAACAAAGGGCAGGTGTTGACTGTTTGAATTACTAACCTTCACTCCTTTTTATGCACTGTCGCTTTCCTGTTCCAGTCATAGTTTTGTTCCTTTTTTAAGTTTTATGCATGACCTTCCCTTTTCCTTCCCGCCTGATAACGAACTTGCATTCCTTGCCCGTCTTTCACCTTGTTTATTATATTATTACTATTGATTACTATCTTAATGTCTGTCAGCCAGGCGAAAAAGTCGCTTGTCACTGAAAAGAAAACTACGAAATAATTCTCTACAGCAAAATTTTTTAGTTCAACAAGATGTTTTGTTGCCCTTTTTTCACCTTTGAAAATTCTAAAAATTCAACGCAAAAGTGCAGGTTATGATTTTCTAGAGCGATTTAAGAACTTATGTTTTAGTGACATGTGCATCATTTCTGTTGTTTGCGAGATACAAAATATCTAAGGCTGACATTTTATCCCATGTTCATCCGTTTTTTGCAGTGCTAGCATTTGGCGTTCTAGGTGTGAGTAAGAGCCCAAGAGTGTTTCTGTCCTTTGTTGCTGCTGGAGCCGTCACTGGGTATGTCACTCTTCCTATCATTTAAACAATAAATTTCGTTTAGAACTTTTTCAGTTGATTCTAGTTACTTACGTACAGCTAGCTACAGTTTTCTCAAGGAAAGATTTTAATGAGATTTGTGTCCTTTTCCCAATTTTTGTACAATTTGTCAGGAGACCTCTTTGTTGCTTTTATCAGAATTTTTTGGGGCAGACGCTACTCGCCGGATGTTGGGTGGCTAGCGCCAAGCTATTCGCCCGATGTCGGGTGGCTAGCGCAAGGCTACTCGCCCCATCTAGGGTGGCTAGCGTCAGGCTAGTCGACCGAATTCAGTTGAGTAGCCTGACGCTATTAGCCCGTGAGGATTTCTGCGACCTCGGGTAAATAGCATTTTCTGCACACCCGGAGCCGGTCACCTAGATCTAGAGCTAGTCTTAGTCTTATACAGGGTGCCCACTACTGCTGGATTGGGCTGATCGCCCGACTCGATCGCCTGAAACTGAAAACAGACAAGTTTGTTTTTGAGGCGACCGAATCGGGTGATCCCATCCATATTGGGCACCCCGTATTAGGTAGCGTAAACACGGCCTCGCGACCTTCCGAGCGACATGAAGCTATCCTGAGCACCTAGCACGCCTCTATGATTGGCCCAAAATAGATCATAGATGATGTTTTTCCGCCAACTATTTTTCTTCTTGCGAGGTTTCCCTCGCGAGTTCACTACATTGTTGTAGATCCCCTAGATCTATCACCCTTTATTAATTTTTTAATTATTATCATCCATCGGAATACCGGGGACAAAGTTACTAACAAGAGAAATGCAGCGCCGTGATGTTATCAAAGATTGTCTAACTACTACCAAGATGTTTTAATTGCCCTATCTCGCGTCTGAACGAGACTTGGGCGCTAGATCTACCTCGTCTTCTTAGCGCCTGACGGCCTGTGATTCGAGTGTAAACAAACGTTCTCAGCGCTGAGTTGAAAGTGATAAATTTTGTCTTTGAGCAGAGAGAGAAAGAGAGAGAGGGGGGGGGGGGGGGAAGAAAGAGAGAGAGAGTGAAAACGAGAGAGAGAGAGAGAGAGAGAGAGAGAGAGAGAAAAAGAGAGAGAGAAAAGGGGGGGGGGGGGAGTTGTTATTAGAATTATTGATTCCTGTCGTTTTCTCTCTGTGTCGGTTCACAAGCTGACCCGGTGCAATACAGTCATTGTTGTACGAATTTTAAAGAAATCCCCAAAGGGGAGAACACGGAACATGCGCAGAAATCCCCAAGGGCCAGAAGCCGCAGGCCAGGAGGGCTAATCGACCGAATTCGTTCGCCCGGACATGCGCAGAAATTCTAGATTGGGCGAGTAGCACTCGCCACTCCGATTTTTTTTTCTCTAACAATAGGTGGAGGTAAGAGGAGAATAACCCATCATAATTGTTCATCTTAAGATTTTCTATAACTGATTAAAGTAAAGAACTGATGTTTTCTTTGCTCTTTTGAGTAATTGGATTGGGTGAAGATAATTGCGGGTAGGAGAAGCAATGTTATGAAGGGACATAAAGTACTGTCTTCAGCATTTTTAAATTATGCTGAAAATTAGTAATAAGTTGCAGGCTTCAGCTTTGAAATGATTAGACAAGTACTTATGAATTGAGGCAGCGATAGTAACAGCTTTTTCCAAATTATTTTTAGTCGTTTTTTCTTTTTTTTCCTCAGTACGGTTGGTGGCTACTTGATCTGTCAGGTTCTGACGTCTGCGGGTCTGACCCAAGAACAACGGCATGTGGAGAGGGTCAAACAGTACATTCTGGATCAGAGGTGAGGCACATGCTTTCTTTACAGTGGAGTCCACTTATAACGAGTCCTGAAGTAACGAGAAGTCTGTTATAAAGACAATAAATTGTAAAACCCCGGTTTTTTTCCTTCTTTATCTTTGTAAATAAAATACTGCTATAGCGCAATCAGATAAACGCGCGAGTCGGTTATAGCGGAATATTGCTGCTGCTGTGCACAGCTCATAGGCCATTTATACCTGATGAAAACCTCGCCAGTTGAGAAACTTGTTGGTGATCAAGCAAAACAAAGAATGGGAGAGCTCATGTGTGCCAACGATGAAGGCCAGAGCGAATGAGTAGGAAGGGAAGGGCATGCGTACACAAGCAGTTGTGAAGCAGAACGCATTGCCTGATAGTGATAGGCCAGCCTAGTCTAGATTATCTAGGCCTATCATGCCTCTCACTTCTCTGATGCTGGGATGGAGAGGTCACAGTGCTGTGATGGATCATGGAGCGAATGTGTGACATGCGCAAGCAGACGCGGGAACGCACCACAGGGTGTGGTGGGATGGGGGAAAACACAGCGGGCGAGTTAGCCTGGAGAACTTTCGTTCTGATAGCCAACGCCCAGCTGTCAACATCGGTAACGCTAGAGAAAGAAACCTGATTCAATTTTTGATCAAGTAAGACCTAGAGGTCATGTTGAACAAAGCCATCATCAGAGGAGATACCAAAAAGTAAAAATAAACAGAACACCAAACTCATAGATTAGGCCTACTTTATTATTTCCTTTGAATTTATTACTGGGTCCCTTACAATGAGAATCCTGCTATAACGGACATTTCGTACCGGTGCCTTCCCTCTCGTTATAACAGGATTCCACTGTACTACAATTGTTTGTAGTGTAAAGCAATTTGCTACCTTAAATATCTCTCCTTTGACTGATTTGGCTCATGATTATTTTGGGGTTGTAAAAAGAAGTTCTTCCTTTTCTATCTACAATAGGGGTCAAGACATAAAGAATTTGAGTATATTGTTGCTGTGTTGTGATTGTTGCTGTTGTGTACCCTCCCCCTCAACAAAAGGGAAACAAAAAAATTAAATAGAATAAAAGATACAACCCAACTCCAAAAAGATGACATATCATAGGTGGAGGGGAGGGGGGTGTAATGCAGAACGTGGTAGTAGCAAAACTCACAGTTACACAAACTTTCTGTGGGGGGTGGAGGGGGTGAAGAAAGTGGAGATGAAAACAGATGACTGTACATGACTAGAGAACAGGGAAGGAAGTGGAAGGAAAACATTTTAGAGAAAAGAAACATTTTTGGCGCTGTCAGGGTTTGTACCTGGGACCTTACCTCTAGACTATGAGAGCCCCATTCCAATTCGTTGATTTTATTGAAACATTCAAATATAGGAATACAGGTATAGGAACTTTGAAGACTGATTCCCTGTTGCTTTGACATCTGTCTTTTTTCTCTGGTATAGTATAAAGCAGAAAGAGAAAACAAAACTCACAGCTACAAACTTTGTGCAGGCTTTTTTCCCCTATTTTCTTTGCTGCGGTTGTCACTTAAAATATACACAGATTAAAATGTGATCTAAGCCATGCGGTGGTAACTGTTCCTTCTCTTACATTTCTGCAGTGTCATTCAGGGTACTCTTGTCAGTTTGCGGGTGGTTGGCTCTGGTCTGGTTTGCTCCTTTTTTCCTATCAAATATCTAACGTCCTGGTCTCTCCTCCTTTTCTGTTTTTGATGCAACACCTCTAATCTTTGGGACTTATATGAATATGACCGTATTGCATTGCATGTGCCATAAATTTCTTTCTGAAACTATTAAAACTTGTGTTGTTTTTTTTTTTTTTGGGGGGGGGGGGGGTGAGGAGTGTGGGGGAGTGATGAGAAAGGATTCCTTTTCTCTCTTCTCTGGTTATCTATCTTTTTCTTTTTCATGACACTAAAACTGTCATATTATGTTCAGTGAATGTTGACAGACTGTTCTCATGTATTTTTTCAGGTCCATGAAGGCAGGGATAGATGATGTACCCATGTGAAGATTTGCACACCTAGTTAGATACTGAAATAGATCTTTTGTATTTTTGTTGTTGTTGTGTACAACAGAGCAGAATGCTGAGGATTTGAAGTGTCCCCTGTGATTAAAGTGCTGCATCTATCTGTCTTTTTTCTGACTCCAGTTTGAGACTTCATTATTTAAAGATGATTGCAATGTGTTTATAAGGAATTTTATTAACAATAAAACTAGATTATGTTACTTGAATGGTAATGTGTGCTCTCATGTTTTATGGAAAGAATGTACACTGTATGTAAATTTTCTGTTGTGTACGTTACAGTCTTCGTTGTGTCCAGTAGTGTGTTCAACTTCAAAGTGCAGTCAAACATGGATAACTCAAACACATCATTGGGGATTGACAAAAGTGTTCAACACATCGATAATTCAGGTAAACCGACTTAACAAAACATTTAAAGAAATATCAGTCAGGAGTAGCAAATAATTGTACAAACTATTCAGGATTTTGAGTTTTCCGTATTAGCATTTTATCTGTGCCTGACTGTATAGCAAAATCTACTGTATTATAAAGCCACTGGGTAGACTATAGACTTTACTCAGATCTCAAGATCAAGTGCACAAAAGATAGACAAAGACCTGACACTTATACTTCCTCATTCTGAGAGAGATGCACTATCAGTTCCCCGTACAACATCCTCAGATCCACTACAACTGGGTGTACAAACCATATAAACATGAAAAGATTCAGTCACATCTGAAGCTAAAATGTGTCATGATAGTATTAATAGTATCAACGCAGTGTCAAACACAATTTAGATCTGATCTAATCTATAACTATCCACCATTATGATTCTTGGTTCAGTGGAAGTACTATACTGTCTTGGTCCTTGAGGAGCACGTGAGTAGAAGGATGGCATGTTTGAAACCAAAATACTTGCGTTCTAGAGACTAAAACACAAAAATTCATACCAAACATACTACAGTCCAGGCTGGCTTTAAGCACGGTCATCGGGAGAAAGCTGAAGCGTGCTTAATGCCGAAGCGTGCTTGAGTGCGAAGTAGGTATAATCCAGATATTTTCATGTAGAAAATTTCCTGAGCTATTTCCCTTATTAAGTAAGCATATTGTGGTCCTGCAAAAGTGTGCACTGTTATTTTTACCCGCCATGGTAGTTTTCATTTATTTATTTGTTTTGTTCTGTGGTCGAATGGGAAATGAAAACTTATTTAGACGGCCAGTCACATACAGCACACGAGGCCTACACCACAGCCTACACACTGCCTGTGCGTACCACTGCCCACTGTGCCACATTCATACCACTGCTTTCACCCCCCAAACACGGTCTTTGATCCCACCTCACTCGTGATATCAAATCAGGATTATCTGATAGCGAGGGGCAATAAGGTGAAATCGAGCCTGCCTCCTTTTCTCATCTCCCCGACCCTTTTTGTATTTTTTTTGTCGGTGTGTAGCTCCGCCCTAGGCTAGATCCTATGTCCATGCCCGCAGCTGTGTGCATCTCTCTGCCTTCCTCTCTGCGCATGTGTGTGTGTGTGTCCATCACTTGCGCTGTTTTTGTTTCTCTTCTTAACACACTCACTGCTGAGGTGTAGACCGTGTTCAAACTTCGATGGGTCATCATGAAAGTATTCACTGTCTTGTAAAGGAAGCATGCCTGAAGCCGAAGTTACTGTGCTTAAAGGCGTGTAATTTATATAGCAAAAATTCGGTAATAGCCGTTTAGCGTGCTTGAGTCCGAAACGTGCTTTATGCCAGCGTGCTTAAAGCCGGCATGGACTGTATAAATCCACCTTTTGCAAGAAAAAATATACAGTCAAACCTCATTACATCGCCACCCTGGGGACGGGCATGAAGTTGGCGAAACAGTGAGGCTGGCAGTTCAGCAAGGTTCCTCTGTTGTATAGCCCCGACTGCCCAATGTTGAGCTTACTGTCGGGGCAAGCTCAGTCCATAGATCAGCCGCCCCTAAAGAAGGTAGGACCTCCATGAGGCCATGGACCCCCAAAGGTTACAATTACAACTAGATTTTAGAACCAAGTCATATGTCGAACCCTCAAAGAAGATCAAACTTCTGACATGAACAAGCAGACTGTCAGCATTCACATGTTTTAACATTGTTCACTGAAAAGTAAAACAACCTTCAGAAATTATATTCTATTTTCTATCCAGCAACTTTGACATTGAGAACCAGTATCCACGTTTCTTACAAGAGGTGTATTAAAAACCACTATTTTTCAAGAAAATTCCAGACACTTTCAAACAAAGAGCTTCAGGATGTTTTTTATTTTTTTAAATTCACTCTCTCACAAATCAGCAATATAATAAAAACACATCTTAAGTAAGACAATCTATTATTCTATTCATTGTAGTTTTTCATGAATTTGTATCACTGACATCTGAGCAGACCATGATGTCCTTCAATATGCACTGTTCACTGTCAAGCTTCTTTCAGGAGACTCAAACACATGCAGTTTATAAACATTAGACAAGAACACAATGACATCACCAAGATACCAAATGCTAACTTCCTGACACAGACGGGAATCTCTCTGCAATCAACTCAGAACATAGCTCCTGTCACATTTAAAAAAAGCATAGCTTAACACAGTAGCCTCACACTACAGAGAGGTATTTCCACAACTCTTCACGACACAAGATCATTTTCCTCCATCAGCTCTTTGACCTTCTTCTGGAACTCAGGATCTCCAACAATAGACCTGGAGAAATAACAGTTGTTTTATATATATATAATGGCAATAAGGGAGGAAAGCTAGCATAACAAGAACACTTCGAAGAACATCAAAATATACCGTATCTAGTCATTAGCTATACCTAAAACTTAAAGATTGAAGTCAGATCTCAGGATCAAAATGCCTAAGAGATGGACAAAGACCTGATATCTCCTCATTCGGAGGAAGGAGCACTATGGGTTCCCTGTAAGCCTCCTCAGGTCCACTAAAACTGGGTCCACAAACCATACAAATGTGAAAAGTTCCAAGTGAGATTCATGAGACTGGAAGCTGAAATTCACAGCAGAGATCTCATATATTATTAGCCATGATCATATATACGAAAAAGAAAAGATTCCAAATGGAAAAATGCTGTCAACCCCTCAACTAACTAATTAGTTGACTCCAACACTCAAATTGGTAAAATCCTGGTTTCAGTGAAAATGAGGTCTGAAAAAACATCAGCATCTTAAATGGTGATGTCTGTCCTAAAAGTATCACTTGCTATGCAGTTTTTATGGCTGATTCATTATATATGCTCCTTTTCATACTTTCCTAATTAAATGTAGTTAAACATTTTTTTTCCTCAAGGACATTGCAAATGTGTCCGAATAGTCAGAACATGGATACAGTGAAAACTTTATCCTCTTGCAAAGTGTAGTCCAAAAAAGACCAGTTGCCTAAAAAATTGATGTGATTATCTACTGCCACACACAGGAAAAGAGAGATTGCAAAGGGTATGTGCCCATTTATTTTGTATGTCTGGATGCAAGTATGGACATATGTGAAAGAAAGCTTCTCATTGGTGACTTGAAACAACTTCCTGTCTCTGATTGGTAAGGGTACACATCGTACTCTACCAATTCAAAGCAAAGCATGACACACAGTACTAATGTCATCTCTGTGTAGGCCCATTGCCAGTTGCTTGGATACGAGTACCAGCCACAAATGCTTGCAGCCATTAATTAAAGGTGTTTTGTTGATAATCATGAATAAAAACAAAGGGATATTCTTTCTCATTTCGGTAAATTTGATGTTTCATTTAGTCATCAGTAGTTTCGCTGAGAACAATGTCCATGGTTTATAAGGTTCACTGTAACAGTAAAATCATTGAAGCTAAAACAGTGCATGATGACTTTTTGGGGGTAAAGTTCAATATATACCTCTTATTAAAAAAATTGCATCATTTCAAACCATCACATCTAAAAAAGAAAAGTTATACAAGCGCAGCCTAAAAAAACCCAACCCATTTTGCCATTACCTTTCAACTTACCTGATTACAAGAACTCTTTCAAAACAAATAGGTGATTGGTGGATGCTCTGGTGAGGTTTATTTCTTGTTTCCGATCAGATGTATATAATATTGTCTCCCCATGAATCTCTCCTTGCTTTTCTTTGGATGTGACACCTCTAATCTTTGACACTTATTTGATCTACCAGTATTGCAAGTGCCATAAAACTTGAACTAAAACACTTAACTCTAAGTACCAGTTCAAATCTTAAGCTATCACAAAGAAAATAATAACTTAATGCAAAGTGAGAGTGTGCTATTTCACATTTTAGATAGAACATCAGATTAGATCACATTGGGTTTGGATTCGGTCCATAAGGAAACTGTGTTGCATCCCTTCTAAACTTTTATATTGTCTAAGACAGATAAAATTGAAATAATATAACTAGATATAACAAATGTGTGATTAATTTTATTCAGTACTGTAACATTATAACGGCAATGGGTCAACAGGTATATTATGATATGTTTGTGATCAAAGAGAGATAATTCATTTAAAACACTTCATGAACCAGGAGAGATAATTCATTAATTAATTTAAAATATGAATTATGTCCCTTCCCATTTTCGCTTTTCTTTGGAACATAATGTATACAGTCGAACCTGCCTACGAAAGACGGATTCGCAAGGGAGCCAGAAAAAAATTCCGTCTTAGACAGGGGAATTTAGGGGGAGATGGAGGTTGGGGGGTTGAAAGGCCCAGCCGGTGGGATCAAGGATCGCTTGTCCGATCGGCAAGCAGTGGTCAAAACTTCACACCTCACAATTGCTATCCTGTCTGATAATGAAATTCATCAGTCTTACTTATCCAATGACCACCAGTGCTTGCCTTTCATAGGACCACTGTCTGACCATTTAAAAACAGAAACGTTCGAACATCTCCTTTGCATCCACCCTTAGCCCCACACACCAATGCCACCCCTCACTGGCATCATTGTAACAACGATTCAAGGAACTCTTTTCTTGGATGGCCGTATGATCAGGGCGGCAAGCATTGGTCAATCTAATTTCACACCTCTAGCTTCTGGCTACCCAGGAAAGTTTTCGTGGCGGCTGGATACTCGAGCACTCTCACGGGCAGTCGTGAGATTTCACATCCACACTACACTGACCATCTGCATCACTCAGGGTTCACATGATGGTGTAACATCTACCCCCAAATTTCACCCCAACTCCCCGTCCTTGCCCAGCGGCATGGCCATAGCATTAAGTTTAGAGCCGGCGGAACCAAACTTGTGAGTTTTGTTTCAAATCAAGGCGGAGCGGGCAAAGCCTTTTCTGTCTTAGACAGGTCAAACCCTCGGTAGGGAGCAAATTTTTCTTTCCGTTTCCGCATTGGACAGGCTTCCGTTTTATACAGGTAATTAAAGAGGAATATATCAAGGGGGGAGCGGGGAGATTCCATTAAGACAGGTTTCCGTTAAGGCAGGTTCGACTGTACTACAATGGATTCCACTTATAAAGAGTCCTGAAATAACGAAAAGTCTTGTTATAAATTATAAAGACACTTTTCTAAAACCCCGTTTTTTTCTCTTCATTATCTTTGTAAATAAATTACTGTTATAGTGCAATCAGACAAACATGCAAGTCGGTTATAGTGGAATATTCTTGCTGCTGTGCACACCGCATAGGCCAATTATACATAATGTAAAACCTCGCAAGTTGAGAAACTTGGTGAACTAGCGAAACAAAGAATGGGAGAGCCCACGTGTGTCAACAACGAACGCCGGAGAGAATGAGTGGGGAGGGTGTGGTATGCGCAGACAAGCAGAACGCATCGCGTGATAGGCCAGCCTAGTCTGAACTATCGAGGCCTACCATCCCTCTCACTTCTTCGGCGCAGGGATGGAGAGGTCACAGTGCCGTGATGGATGGAGCGAATGTGTGATGTGCGCAAGCAGACGGAATGCACCACAGGGTGGGGTGGAGGACAACACATTGGGCGAGTTAGCCTAGAGCCCTTTCTTTCTGATCGCCTTCGCCTAGCTGTCAACATCGCTAGCGCTAGAGAAAGAAACCTGATTCAATTTTTGATCAAGTTTGACCTAGAGGTCATGTTGAAACAAAATCATCATCAGGGGAGATAACAAAAAGAAATAAACAGAACACCAAACTCATAGATTAGGCCTATTTTATTATTTCCATTGAATTTATTACTGGATCCCTTATAAAGAGAATCCTGCAGTAATGGCCATTTCGCACCAGTCCCCTCCCTCTTGTTATAACAGGATCCACTGTATCATCACGTAACGAAATATTGCAATTTTCAAAATAGAGTTGTTGATTTAATAACACTGAGACAGTTGCTTGATCGCAAAACGTAGACCGTTCTCTCATATCAGTATGTAGAAACTTACTTCTCAACTTCCAGTTTTGACATGATGGTGGCCAGATGCCGTTCCTCCTGTGTGAATCCGTACGCCTTCATGGTCAGCAAAGCGAAACCTCCCAACAGGGACCTAGAGACACAGATATATAGTGCTTATAAGCCTTTTTCATAACAGTCAAACTTTATATACATCTTTTTCTGTATCTTTATGTGAAGGAGAAAAGTTTAGTCATTGAAGGTTAAGCACACAATAATGATATTATTCAATTTGAAATGCAAATTGAAAAGTGATTTAAAAAAAAAACAAGAAAAGAAATGATAAAAGATAGTGTTATATCACCCACTCACTGACAGCTAATAGTAATCAAATGCTAGAACAATCTGAGTTTTTACTTTTATAAATTAAATAAAAGCACCGATAACATTCATCTGTAATAAAAAATTTGGAAACAGAGGGTCAATGGCAATACAATAAAAGTTGTGCGGTGATCTTATTGCAGAAACAGTTCTGGTTTTGACACAAATGCTCGTGTGAAGGAAGAAATAAGAAAGACAATATCCTAAAACTGGTAACAAAATAGGTAGCCTAATCCCAATGACATAAGAGGACACAAAACGCAGTCTTTGGTCAGTAAAGCTTAATCAATCTAGAAGGAACAGGAGATGGTAAGCTTGAATGAGCTTACATAACAAACTATAGTAAGGAGGGAGACAAAGCAGCTTGTGGACTTGTCCAGAGTCACTGTCTCCTTCATCCTCACCAAAAGTCTCTCATTATTCCTGTATTTCTCATTAGTGCACTTCCACCAAAGATGCTTTTCCGTCCTGGTCCCATCTCTTCTTTTTACTACATGTACCCCGGTACATCATATGACGCAAAAATAAGAAATTTCTAAAGGGTGATTTGCACTTTTCTTCTGCGTGGCGCTCATATCCATAGCAATCTCATACAAACATCTGCAAGAAGCTAAACTCTGACTGCTGCTAAGTAAATAAAGATTTTGTGAGGGTAGGTCAAGATGTGAGGGGTGCAGCCATGCCAATACCAGGAGGCAGAATACAGATTAATAAAAACAGATAAGTGTCAAACTATGTTGCATTCCATTAATGTTGCCTACATTTATGTTCCTGTTTAACTTAGTTTAAGAGGACAAAATCCACACTGCAACTGTAAGTGAGGCAAAGTGTCTTTTGTATATATATTCTGCTTACCCTAAAGTAGCCCCCAAGGCAGATCCAACAATCATCCCTCGAAAGCCTAAATGGATACGAGCAAAACCACCAGCAATTCCTGAGAATAGACAAGAAAAAAAACACTCATAAATAATTCCAAAAGAACAACTGCATATGGCCAAAATTACTAGAATAAGTACAGCCGAACCTGTGTAAGACGGAATCGCAAGGGAACCAGAAAAAAATTTCGTCTTAGACAAAGTTAGACAGGAAAATTTAGTGGGGAGATGGAGGGGGGGTTCAAAGACCCTGCTGTTGGGGTCAAGGTCGCTTGTCCAGTCGGCAAGCAGCTACAAGTGGTCAAAACTTCACACCTCTCAGCTGCTATCCTCTCTGATATTGATAATGACATGCGTCAGTCTTATTCCAATTACCACCAGTGCTTGCATTTCATTGAACTACTGTTTGACCTCTTAAAAACAGGAACGTTTGAACATCTCCTTAGCCCCTCCGTCCATCGGTGTAATAAGCACAGTCAACCAGTGCCACCACTCACTGCCACGTAACAACGATTCGAGGAACTCTTTTCTCGGCTAGCTGTACGATCAGGGCGGCAGGCATTGGTCAAACTGATTTCACACCTCTGGCTACCAATGAAAGTTTCTGTGCTGGAGCCTCACTTGAGCACTTTCACTTGAACTCCTGAGATTTCACACCCACACCACCCTGACCATCTCCATCTCTCAGGGCTCACATAGATGGGGTAACATCTGCCCTCAAATTGCACCCCTACTCCCCTTCCTCGCCCGCCAGCATAGCGTTAAGTCTAGAGCCGGTGGATGGAACCAAACTTTGGAGTTTTGTTTCAAATCAGGGCTGAATGGGCAAAACATTTTCCGTCTTAGACGGTCAAACCTTCGGAAGGGAGGTAATTTTTCTTTCCGTTTCCGCATTGGACAGGTTTCCGTTCTATACAGGTAATTAAAGAGGAATATATCAAGGGGGAAACAGGGAGATTCGGTAAAGACAGGTTTCTGTTTTACACGGAAATTAAGGCAGGTTCAACTGTAATACTGTGGGCCTGAAATGAAATCAAATGAACAATACAGATTTTAACATCCTGTGGTCCCTTATTATAACAGTACACAACATAAACAAGCATTGGAGTATATTTGAAATACAAAATATTTTTCATGCCCATAAATTTATCTACCAGTGAGTTTGATGTTGGATATTAGGACATACTGCTAAATCTTAGGGGTAGTTGACAGCTGGTTCCTCAGCATGTAACCGTTTTTCCTACTTGGTAGGACTTTTGGGAATTGGAAATGGATATGAAAGCAGAAGACAGAACTTGTCTAGGGAACAGGAAAGGAGGTGAGGAGAGGAGATAATTTTTAAGAAGAAATTTTTCAGTTGCCATCAGGTTTCGAACCCAGGACCTATTGAGTGTGTGAGAGGTGAACACAACACCATACCTCCAGACCATTAGAGCCCCTTCCACTGCAGGTCATGACTATGTATTGACTAATGACACACCAGTTCTAGATATAACTTTTAAAGGAATTCACTGAACAAGAAGTCGCCAAAACGTACCTGCAGCCGCTGTATATTCTAAGACGGATGTCTTGTTACGGTAGGAAGCTATCATTTGAGACAGTACTCTGAAAAAATGAGAAATAAAAATGTGTCATTAAAAGTTCATGTCTTAAAATTCCTTTGACACAGTTTCAAATGAAGCAGGTCACCCAAGCAATGTTCTACCTAGTTACTAGACAAAATATCATAAAAAAATAATGAACTCTCCTCAATTGGCTGCATGTCTCAAATATTACTGATTTCTGTTTTTTTTAAAGCATTGAAAGTTGCGAGATTTTGAGTTAATTTTCTATCCATTCTATGCCAGGCATGGATGATCTTCAAATTAGACATACCTTACAATAAATGCAAGGTTTTATTTAAAGAAAAAAAAACCCTGTGGTTTACTTGATAACAAACCTAACTAACTACCAACTAAAGGTTCAGCAACTGCTTAAATTTACTGTGTGCCATCCTGGTCCAGGTTAATGAACAAGAACAACAAAGAAAACTCTTTGTAGTTCTCAGAGCCAAAAAAACCAAAACATTTTTCCTCATCTACTGTTTGAAAACCAATTAAATAGAAACGTACAAAAATGCTGCGGAGAACGTGGTCACTTTGGCAGAGAATGCTCCTCCCTGAATAGCTGCAGTGAAAGAAACATGATCTTGCATTCTTCTCTGTGGAATGGAAATAAAACAATGCATCAGCTCAAGGCCGCAACTGGTAGCACTTATTATTCCAAGAGAAATATTACACACACAAAACCAGCATGCACACAGGAATATAAAAAGAAGTCTACACTGTTCCATCACAACAGAAGATGGAGTTTGTGCTGTATTGGTCAACAGCTTATTATAATGTCCTGAGCTGACAGCATGTCTCTAATCAGATCAAAGACCAATGTATGCCACAAAATGCTGGTTGCAGTGATCAGCTTTCTTCAATACTCCATCACATCATCTTGTTGTATGCCTTCATAGCTTTTCTTTTCATATTGGGATTGGTCTTGACTTATCTGTCTCCTATTGCCAGCTATCTTCTGTTGCCTGTACCAAGGTTTGAAAGTTTATTCCTGTATAATTCATGTCCCTATTGCAGATATATTTTTGTATAATAGTAGTGTTTGATTACTTTCCTCACTTCATATCATATAGACTGCCTTTTCTTACTTTTCCGTACTTCCAAGTGGTGCAGGAGTGCTAGCCATTGTAATATATATATATATATATATATATGGGTTGCAATTGTAAGAACAGTGAAAATTCCATGGAAACTCAAACTGACCCTTCCAGTTTCTCTAAGCTGGTAATCTTGTCTTGCCAAATAATTTCTCAGCCACCTCATGTCAAAGCTGTATTACCTGTCCTGGGCAACAACTTCATTGCAAACCAGACAGGTCCATATTACTCAGTTCCTCCCAACACCAAAGCCCGCAAGGTACCCATACTGATTGTTCCAGTGGCTGTCTGATTATGGCGACGTCTTTCCCTTCCAGAAAATCGTTCTTTTGTTCCTTCTCCCCTCTCTATCCCCATTTCTTGCATCCTGATGATTGCGCGGTGTTCTGCTGTCTCCCTGTCTTCCTCATCCCACTACTTTTCCTCCAGGGTCTTAAACACTTCTCCTTTGTCAAATTTCACCTCACCATAAACCACGGCACTGCCTGCCAGCCTATCAGCCTCCTCATTGCCCTTCACTCCACAGTGCCCAGGACAGAATATCCACGTGATGGCTCTAAGTAATGAGTGTTGTAAGCAAAAGAGTGACAGTAATTTGAAAGGGTAGTTTGAACCCGGTAAACAAACATGCTTATAATTTAAAACATATTTCTATTTTTTCCCCCCTAAGGTCTCCATAAGAAATACTTTCTTTCAACCGCATGACAATTATAAATGTTGACTTGTTGAAAACATAAGAGGCAAGCTTGTATAGCTTATTTATTTTTCATTATTTCTGATTTTGCCCTACCGAATTAGGCACTTCATTTGGCAAGCAAACAAAATTTTTTTTTGAAGAAATTTTATAAATTCTATTTTTCTTTGTTTTCGAGGTATATTTCCATCTCTACCATGGTTCCCACAGCAAACCTAAGACCTTTCCCAATACAATCATTTGCTGTGGCACAAAGATGGAAAATATCTGACAGGAGGCAAAACACACAAGACATAAACAGGGAATGACAAATCATACCACAGCTTCAATTCTTGTTCTAAAAACTGTTGCTTGATTCTGCCGTATGAACTCCCTCCTGGCGATATTCCATGCAGGCACATATTTCATAAAGAAGGTTATGATGAGGGTTTGCACCAATGCCAGTTTAATGTAATCCATCTCAGGACTACTGTTACCTTTGTGGCTGAAATGAGAATGATCGTGACAGTCAATGAGCGGTATACATTCCAACTGACATGAAATCTTAACACAGTGCCCCATTAGAATATCTCACGACTTGTTTTAAAGCCTCATGAAAATTACAGACAACATTGTTTTTTCTTTAACAGAGGCACATTTATAAAGTCAGAAACTTTTGCAAGCAATCATTAAGAAAGACAATCATTACAGGCTTAATAATTGACCACATATTTGCCAATTGTGACATCTCAAAGAATTTAAAAGGATGAAATTAGTGATGAAAAACACAATCATATACACAAGAATGAAAGCCAAACAGGTCTATAGAAAAGTAAGATGACCATAAGTAGGCTTAATTATAGGGAAAAGACCTACAAAAGTCCACCAATTGTATAATCTAGCTACCTCATTCTCCCTTATTTTTAAAAACTAAAATTCATGTAAATGTTGAAAAAATAAGTCATATTTTCACTTGACTGCTGCTAACTTTCATTCTATTCTCAAACAGGAAAAGTAAAGGCAAGGGCATAACCTTTCTTGAACTTTCATGCTGGGACAATGCATGCTGTTAAAGCTTATCTTCTGCTTTTACTACTTTTTCCTTGTCACTCTTGTCCTTGTCATCTTCCTGGTAAAATGTGAACATAATGCCAACTCACTGAAAAAAAGGCACAACTCTTTACATTACCTGACCATGCACAATATAAAAGTACAGGACAGTGTGTTCACTCACTCTTTCTGAAATATCATGTGAACTCGTTCCATGCCTGTTTCTCTCTGCACATAGGCCCTTGCCAGTGCTTCAAGTTCTGGTGAGGGTACATGCTCTTCAACTTGTTCGTTTTCTTTTCTCTCAGCTAAAGAATGATTACTATTGGCTTGTGTGCTCACTGGTTCTTCCACTGTCTTTTCTTCAGCATTAAGCTTCTGAAAACTGAATAATTTCAACAGCCATGAAAAGCTTGGTGAGGTTCTTCCTGAAACTTGATCAGCTCTTAACTCACAATGTGTAAGTGTGTGAGGTTCATAATTTGCAAGGAGTTTTGATTTTCCACAGCCAGAATTAATTGTAGGAGCAGCTGTATTCAGTTCAAAACGAGCAGCATTCCAATACAATTGACAGCCAGCTATCTCTTCCATGTTCACATCACTGTTTTCAGTCCAAGAGAACAGCACAAATGCCCTGAAAAGACAAAGGATTTTTGAAAACAATAAAATACACATCAGGTATGCTTCATGAAGTTTTTAAAAGCAAATAAGGCTCCATTTGGCCTCTATGAAGCAGTTTATCACAATGAACTTGATCAATACCTGGAAATGTAGCAAAAGTATAAAAATGAGTCAATGAGTTAAGTGCCAATCAAACTTCTCAGATTGCTTCTCCTTTCACATCTCTGTTTTTAACTTATTGTGGTATCACAAGTGTTTTGCTTAGTTATCTTCTCTGAGTCTGAGAGGGTAATAAACTTTGACAAAAATAAAGACTTTTAATGTCATCAACATATTACAGACTGACTCACTCAATTATCTCCTTCTTCCAAACCCGTGATAAAGTGACTGAAGATAGATCATTAGATCGAGCACCCAATCCTGCTAGGATAAAGATTAAGCATCATAGAGAGATCTCATAATATGTGCACAAGTTCCCTTGATGGTTGAAAATCGTAGAAGAGTAGGCTATTAGATCTAGGCCGCCACCTGAGCAAAACTCAAAATTCAAAGTCTCCCTATCATGAATAGACTATCGATCCCTATTTAATAGGGATCGATAGTCTATTCATGATACTATTACACTTCTAATATTGGGCAGACATCGATGATGTCTCTCCATGGTTAGTGTAACTTAAAAGTAGATCTGACTTTATGAGTTAAAATCAAGTTATAGGCCTACATATTCGAATTAAGGTCACCTCACACCATATTGGACAGAATTGGCCTTCCATTTTTTTTAGAGTAGGCCTATGGAGGCCTGTTAGAAAGTAAGGGTTTTATGTAATACAGTCAAACCTGCCCTAACGGCCACCTCTATAAGACGGCCACCTGTACAAACGGCCACTTTCCGTTTCCCCCCTCGCGTTTTTTCTATATAATTTAACTGTGTAAAACAGGCACCTGTCCAACGCGGCCGCG